GGGAAACAGGCATTTCAAAGCCCATCGCTCTGTTTTGGCAGCATGTAGCACACATTTCCGAGCTCTCTTTACTGTAGCAGAGGGTGATCAAACTATGAACATGATTCAGCTGGATAGTGACGTGGTGACAACAGAAGCTTTTGCTGCTCTGATTGATATGATGTACACTTCTACGCTAATGCTTGGGGAGAGCAATGTTATGGATGTCTTGCTGGCTGCTTCTCACCTACATTTGAACTCTGTTGTTAAAGCATGTAAACATTACCTTACTACCAGGACACTACCGATGTCTCCACCTAGTGATAGAATTCAAGAGCAAAATGCGCGCATGCAAAGATCTTTCATGCTTCAGCAGCTTGGACTGAGCATTGTGAGCTCTGCATTAAATTCCACTCAGAGCACAGAGGAACAACCAAATACCATGAGCTCATTGATGAGAAGTAACATAGAGCAACGCGCTACTTTTCCTATCCGGCGTCTCCACAAGCGTAAGCAGTCTTCTGATGATCGGGCCAGACAGCGAGTCAGACCTACTGTAGATGAGTCTGTCTCAGGTGTTACTCCAGAGAGTGGGCAGTCAGTAGCTCATTCGCGAGAAGATTTTTTTTCACCAGATTCACTGAAGATTGTGGACAATTCTAAGGCTGATGCTGTTACTGATAAACAGGAGGATAATACTATTATGTTTGATCATTCTTTCAGTGCTCAAGAAGATGTTCAAGTGCCCAGCCAGTCAGACAACAGTGGAGGAAACGTTTCACAGATATCCATCGCATCCCAGGTAATAGAAGTGGAAACCAGTTTTGATCAGAAAACTACTTCTGAGAAAAACAACTTATCATGTGAAAATCCAGAAGTCAGTCTAAATGAAAAAGAACACATGGAGGTGATGGTTAAATCTGAGCCTTTGAGTTCCCCAGAGCCTCAAGATGAAGTGAGTGATGTCACTTCTCAAGCAGAAGGCAGTGAGTCTGTTGAAGTGGAAGGAGGAGTGGTGAGCGCAGAGAAGATAGAACTGAGTCCTGAAAGCAGTGATCGTAGCTTTTCTGACCCACAGTCCAGTACTGATAGGGTGGGAGGCATCCATATTATGGAGGTGTCAAATAACCTGGAACACAAGTCCACTTTCAGTATCTCAAATTTCCTGAATAAAAGCAGAGGTGGCAACTTTGGTGCTAGTCAAAATAGCAATGACGACATTCCAAATACAACAAGTAACTGCAGAATGGATGGTGATGCCTCTTACCTAATAAGTTCAGAGTCTGGGCCTGCTAATGGTCATTCCTCTGCTACAGTTTCTCATGTAGAGAATCCATTCAGTGAGCCTGCAGACTCTCATTTTGTTAGACCAATGCAGGATGTAATGAGTCTTCCCTGTGTACAGGCTTCTGGGTACCGAGCTGCAGAACAATTTGGTATGGATTTTCCGAGGTCAGGTTTGGGCCTGCACTCTTTGTCAAGGACAATGATGGGCTCTGTAAGAGGTGGAGCTAGTAGCTTTCCTGGCTACCGTCGCATAGCCCCCAAAATGCCTGTTGTGACCTCTGTCAGGAGCTCCCAGCTGCAAGATAACTCTTCCAGTTCCCAGCTGTTAATGAATGGGACCACTTCTTCTTTTGAAAATGGGCATCCTTCACAACCTGGTCCACCACAGTTGACAAGGGCATCTGCAGATGTTCTTTCAAAATGTAAGAAGGCCTTATCTGAGCACAATGTCTTGGTTGTAGAAGGTGCTCGCAAATATGCCTGTAAGATCTGCTGCAAGACTTTTTTGACCCTAACAGACTGTAAGAAGCACATCCGCGTGCATACAGGAGAAAAGCCTTATGCCTGTTTAAAGTGTGGCAAACGGTTCAGCCAGTCCAGCCATCTATATAAACATTCCAAAACAACCTGCCTGAGGTGGCAGAGCAGCAATCTACCTAGCACTTTGCTTTAATCTCCCCCACTTCCCTAGCCCCTATGAGAATGCCAATACAAACTTTTAAGATTCTGGAGTATTTCAGGAACATTAATGCTATTTTATTCAAGGCTGAAGGTTAGGGAGCTGCCCTTGTAGATTAGTAAATACTTGCGTGTGATTGTGCCACATACACAAAAGTCTTGATTCTGTAAACTGGGGATAATAATACCATACTTACCTCACAGGGGTGTTGTGAGGCTTAACTGTTAGTGAACCACTTTGAGATCCTCAGAAGGAGGCACTGTAGACAGGTTAAGAGTTATTGTTAGGTACATGTCGGTCTTGGGCTCACAGGGATGTAATCCCTATAACCAAGTAGTTAGCATTGCAGGGCAGATGGGTGAGGTTCGAGTGAGAATGTAGTTAACTCCTAATTATGTTTAAGTAGCATGTTTCAAGAATGAAAAATTGAAGGGCAAATTTCCTTTTTTAGAGATTTTGTAAAATTGTGAAAACATTTCAGTAAATGACCTATAACATAAGTTATAGCTGTGTATGAACAATAATGCCAAGAGCTTTTTACAGTAACTAACACAGATTGCATAGTCTTAAAACCAACCTTGGATGCGCCTGTCTGCCATAAACTGCTTTAAAACATGTTAATTATGAAAATAGTTTTAGGGTTCTGAATGCATTTTTGGCTCTTTTGCAGTACAGGACACTGTATAATGAAGGTACTTAAGTCCAAGACAAGTAACTTTTGGACTGTTAGATGTGTGTATATATATATATATATATACTCTGAATACAGCAAGGTCTGGTTGTTTCACCATTTTTTTTCCTGTAAAAACTTGTATTGAGTGATAAGTGAAGTACTGTTTCTTGTTTGTGCTATTCTTAGCAATATTTTAACCAACTTGTATTTCATATGTTTAAGTTTCACAGACATGGAAGTGCGAAAGGAGCTTGTCTGTATCCGATTTGTTTTTTTTAAATGAGAGATGATTTGTGGTGGCTCTTCTTACTGGGTAAGGTAGTCTCTTACTCTTTCCAGATGCTGATAGTCGGTCTGATCCATGTTACTGTGTAAGTATACTGTCCTTTTTTCATGTTATCTTCAGGCTTCAATTTCCTTCTCCATATACTTACTGTCCTTCCCAACTGTAAATTGTTCCTCAGATCAAAGTCAGGAATGAGTCTCACTGGCCGTATTTATGGATGTCTCTGTATAAAATGTAGCTATCAAGGCCAATCCTTCAATTTAAAGTAGTATGATAAATGTACTTTTTCAAGTAAGTAAAAATCTAGTATTAACTTAATTTTAAAATATAGCATTGTACACTTTGTTAAGCAGAAGTTCAGGGATCTTTATTCTTCAGGTGAATCACGTAGATCTTGTTTTAATTTCCTCTTCTTTGAAACCACTGTGGCTAATACAGTTTGCAGTCTCTTTCCTTTGTTACAGGAGCACATGAACTAACTACGGCCTTTCAACAGGTTAGGTTTCTAAATACGTTTTGGAGCACTTCTGATAAATGTTACTCTGCTCTATGGGAGCTGGGTCAGTGCTTCAGCATGTCAATTCTGCCTAGACCATACAGATATTTAACATTTTCTATATCTAAGCCGCACAGCAGTTGCTTCTTTTAATATAAAAAGTACTTGCAAACTTTCCCCTCTTTGATTTGTTCTGTATGGCAAATATCCTGTGTGATGTTATTGACCGCTTTTGAGGAACTTGTACTAATAGACAGGTTAGCCTTCTGAAGGATCTTGGATTTATATTTAGGTAAACTGAAAATAAAATCCTAATTCACAATCCTGTAACTAATTTAACTGGATGAACAATCCAAAGATTTACCTGGATGAACAATCCAAAGTATTGAATCACAGAAACAAAACATTTGTTGTCAGACCAAAGGAAATATGGAACTCTGTTTATATGTGGCTTTATATGAAACAGTAGTTCACTAATAAAGAAATACAACTTAATCTCCTCTAACTACACTACTTCACGTTGAAAAACTGCCTAATGTCTGTCAATACTTTATTTGCAACTTGAGTATCCAAGGTAAATAGGAGTGTGGAACTGTGGTGAATGGCATGATTAAATCCTTTAATATGTTAAAATCTTGCTATAGGTTTTAGTTAATGGTCACATTTCTAGCTCTTGATTTTTAAAGCATTAAAGAAATTTGCCATACTTACAAAAAGCAGTAGGAAAGAGCATATTTTGTTGGATAACAATATTGATATTGGGGTCTAATGGCATTGAGCCTCACTCACTGTCTCACTGGATCACCAATAAAATATGGTATTTTCTACTTTAATCTTATCTTGTTGGTGTGTTGCCTTATTAGTGACATCCTGCCTACTTTTTTTCATCTTCCTTGCCTTTCTAGTGTTTTCTTTAAGACTAGTTTTATCTCTATTTTCTATCTGTTTTCACATGGTGTATTGCATCTGACACCCTACCATGCATAGGAATAAAGCAGATATGGAAGTGAAGAGATTAAAGTAAAGAGAATAGAGTAATGAAACTTAAGAACTGGTAAGAGCCTTATGTTTAGCTCTACTTTTTGACCAGCTTTTATAATAAAACCTTAATGCCTTTCTGAAATGCCAGAGGTTGTTAAGGGAGAACTTTTTTTCCCCCTTAAAAAAAATCTTAAAAGTTGTTAGTTGCAAAAAGTCTCTAATTTTTATCAATCATTGATTTCTACTGTTCCTAGAGGGGCATACTGAAAATCTAGGAGCTTGTGTTTGACTGCCCTTGCTTTCCCAATATGACAGACCCACAGACCCATTCAGGTTGGAAGGGACCTTGGGAGATATCTAGTCCAGTCTCCTGCTCAAAGCAGAGTTAGCTATGAGCTCAGACCAGGTTGCTCAGGACTTTGTGCAGTCGAGGCTTAAAAACCTCCAAGAACAGAGCTCCCACAACCTTTCTGGGTCCCTGTTCCACTGCTTGACTGTCCTCATGGTGAAGAAGTTTTTCCAGGTTTGTTTTCCAAGGGGGATTTACCACTCTGTCACTAATGAAAAACATGGAGCAAGCTTGGAGCAGCTCATCTGTGGATTCATCCCTGGGTGGTATAAACCTGTGGAGTTTCTCTTGTATAACAGCAGAAGGAATCAAGTTTGCATCAACTATGGATCCACAACTGTGATGTATCCTGCAATGTTAAACCCTGCTTTCCTTCTGTCCTCTTGCGTGTTTGTGCTGAAATAATCTTTACTGCTATGACTCTGATCATACTGGTATGTTCATTCTCAAACGGTAGAACGTTCCTGTGATGAGTTTTACAAAGTATTACTGAGTTCTTTGAAATCTAGGAGATTCTTCTGTGTTCTTCTAGAAAGAATAAGAAGGAAATACATGGAGCTTTAATAGGTTGCTCTTTTGCTCAGGTGCTTTTTAGATAAAATCCACCCATCCCTTGTTCGTACACATACTAGCCCTTACTAGATGCAGCCTCTATTCTAGTTATTCTTCATCGATGAGTGTGTGTGTGTGAAATAAAGGCATGTACATGTGCTCACATACATAGTCTATTTATTGGCTCTGGAGGGGAGGGGGGAGTCTGCCCGTTCCATTGAATTAAGTGGAGCATGCCAGATCTTTCTTTCCTGAACACCAAGGTATAATTTTGTGTTTAGAGCAGAACTGGATTCGCAAATTGTCTTGAAAAAGATTGACAGGTTACTCTTTAGTGAAAATTTTTCTTGATACTAGTTTTGGAAATGAAAGAAGGTTTGGGAATGTGGTAGGTGAAGGCTGTACATCTCAGATCTTTGCCCTATTGCTTGAAGTGAGCCCTGCTGGGAGGGACTATTTTGGTGATACATCCACCAACTGCACTGGAACATATGCATAATATCTGATGGCCCTGGCTGTCCCCTGGAGATTGTTACATGTAGGGCTTTTGCATGTGACTGAGAGCCACATGCACGCTCAGAGAGAGTGCAAACATGAAACTGATTTGGGGAAATTAGTTCAAATGGTGCCTACACATTTGGGATCTCTAAGGTCGAGGGTAGCAAGTCTGCAGGCTAAGGTCCAAATTCCCAATGAGTCTCACACACGCAGATCACGATATTCATAAATTCAGAGTCTTATTGACAGAAATAAAATACAGGAACATGAAAGTACAAGCATATATATTTTGCTATAAGGTGCCTTTAAAAATAGTTGCTGGTAATACAGGATTTCTACTGAGAACAAAGAATCATAGCTTTAGTCAGTCCTTTGTTAATTTAGCAACTCTCAATTTTATCAAATAGGGGCTATATTCCCAGGAATAATTCTGACAAAGGGATCTCCCAGAATCTGGAAGATTATCCAATTATAATTTAAAGAAACCTACAGGAAGGATGACTGACTAAAGATAGACGTCTCTGAGAGCATTAGGG